GGAACGCATGCTGGGCCCTCTTGGGGCCGTCTCGAGTGCCTCCTGGGCTGTTACGGAGCCATCTTGGAGGCCGCAAGGGCCATCTGGAGGCGATCTCGGAGGCCTCTGAGGCCGCCTTGGGCCGTCCGCAGGCCGAAAAGAAGCAAATCTCAACATCCTTCAAACACCAACGGAACATCCATGACTTGGGCCTCTTCGGGCCTTCCTGGAGGACCTCTTGGAGGCCTCTTGGGCCGTCTTGGAGGCCTCTCGGGGGCCGCTTGGGCCGTCTGCCCTCATCTGGAGACCATTTGGGCCATCTTGGAGGCTTCTTGGACAAACTTGGAGGCATCTTGGACGCTCTTCGGCCGTCGTGGAGGCCATCTTGGACCATCTTGGGCGAACTTGAAGGCCATCCTGGCCTGGTTGGAGCCATCTGGAGAAAAAACGTTTGGAACCACCTCTGGGAAAGCCTTCTGGGTTGCCGGCGCGCTGGGCCGAAACCTCACGGGGAGTTCTGCTGGACAAATAACCCAAACCAAGCGGTATAGGTTCGGCACGCCAGGCACCCTTGTTGTAAATCAACAGGGGGCGGCGGATCGAAGACGCCTACGGCGAATCACATCGAATCATTGCCGCCCCCTGCCTTTGGGAGTCGCCCATGTGGCCGAGCGTTGTTGCAAGAGCTCTGCCAAGCTATCGGACCAAGTGTTCCCCCAACCGTTGTGTAAACCCTTCGGGGAACACTTGGGGGAGGATGGCGGGGAAGATCAGGAGGAGGATGAGGAAGAGGAGGAGGAGGAGGAGGAGGAGGAGGAGGAGGAGGAGGCGGAGGAGGAGGAGGAGGAGGAGGAGGCGGCAGGAGGAGGAGGAGGAGGAGGAGAGGAGGGGAGGGGGAGGGGAGGGGAGGGGGAGGGGGAGGGGGAGGGTGGGAGGAGGAGGAGGAGGAGGAGGAGGAGGAGGAGGGAGCATCTTGGAAGCCTCTGGGAGCACTCTTGGGGCATCCTGGGAACTTCCTGGGAGCCTCTTGGAGGCATGTTGGGGGCCTCCTTGGGCCTCTTCGGGGCCTTCGGAGGCTTCTCGGGTGCCTCTTTGTCCGTCTTAGGGCATTCCTGGCCCGCCTGACGCCGTCGGAAGCCGTCTTGGGGGCCTCTCTGGGCCGACTTGGTGCCCTCTTGGGGTGCTCCAGGGCCGTCTTGGAGGCAATCTTGGGCGTCTTGGAGGCCTCTTGGGCCGTCTTGGGTCCTCTTGGGGCCGTCTTGGGGGCTTCGTGGGTCGTTCTTGGGCAATCCTGGAGGCCTCTTGGGCGATCCGTGGGGGCTCTTGAGCCGTCTCGGGTCGTCGGAAGGCCGACAAGAAGCAAACCTCCGCCTGCTCATGACGCGTAGCAGCGGGCACCCACGACACGGGGACGTTGTAGAGGAAGGTGGAGCTCGCTGTCGACCAGGGGGCCCTCAGAACTTGCCCTGGAGTGCCTTCGCGGGGAAAGCCTGCTCTCCCCGCCTGCGCGGCAGGGGTCTCCGCTCCCCCCCCCTTTGCGGCGTCGCGGAGAGCGAAGGGGTGGAGGAGGAGGAGGAGGAGGAGGAGGAGGAGGAGGAGAGGAGGAGGAGGAGGGGGAGGGGGGAGGGAGGGGTGGGGGAGCGAGCGGATGAAGAGGCAGAGCTGTGGAGCAGTGAAGGTGTGAGGGTC